GGGCAGGGCAGCGCCGGTAACTGGAAACCAGAGCCTCCGCCGTCCCCGCCCGGCCGCTTCCCATTCACTCCGGGGCGCGTAATTGCGGGCTGGGGAGAAGCGCTCCCGGTGCCTTAGGACTCCAGCCGTAAGGATTATTTTACACAGGAGCCGGGAGTACCTTTGCAACCACCGGGAAGAGAGACTTTCTTTATTTTTTTTATTTCCACACACGCAATGAGCCAGGTTTGGAATTAAAATCTTCTGGTAGCAGCAGCGGAGTCCATAAACTGATAGAAACCAGATAGAAATCTATCACTGGCTCCTCCAATAGCTGGGTAAGCATGATTGAAAGTTCTCTTTCTTTGCTGAAATAGATGTGAAATGTGTTTGATGGTTGAATTTTCCTACTGTTCACAGATAGTTAAAGCAATATTTTCCAGATTAGCATAGTCTGCATTTGGAGTGGTTGGTGGGGGTTTTTTTGTTGGTTGGTTTTGTGTTGGGTTTTTTCTTTTCTTTTTTAATTTAGTGGTGATTTTTCTTCCCTTTCTTTCTTTCCTTTCTTCTGCTGAATGATTTTCCTTAGGATTTAAGGGTAGGATTCAGCCTGTAGCGGATGACACCTGCACAACACTTCACAGCAAAGCAATATAACACTTTCCAAAAGCCATACAGAACGCTGAACGCGACCTTGGTGGCAGGAAAACTTCACTGCTTTACTCTAGTAGCGGTTTGCCTGTTTGTTTGCAGTTAGAACAGGGTGTAAGAGCAAAAATGTAATTAGACGTTGCTCTTTGTCTGTCCTAAAACATTCTTTAAACGTACTTGCAAGGTTTTAGGTCTGTGGGTTGTCAGCAGGGATCATGTGCACAGGACATGCTGAATATAGCATCATGACTTACTGAGATAAATTCAGAGCTGGGATATAAGCCCAAACTGAGTTTCAAACCTGCAATGAGTTTGTGTTCAGTTACCAGGTATGTAAATCTCTGAAATTAAACCTATTTTCATTAGGTAATTCACGTCAGGCACCCTGAGGTACCTTTTTGGCACCATATGCATCTATTATTTATGTGTCTAACAGCTGGGTAGGAACCATGCAGCTCAGAATTTGAATCTATTTGCCCGTCACTTCTGTGTTAACAGTGAAGATCTGCAATTTGAGCAATGAAATGTAGCAATGTTTCACTCCTGTAACTGATTGCACTAGAATTGGCAGGAGGCACGAGAGTGGGAGGGAAGGAGTGCTGAAAGGGTTTTTTTTTCTTATTATTTCCTATAATATCATTTAAGGGGAAGGAGAAAGCTACACACTTGTTCCTCTTTGACTTTTTATCTCTGTTGCAAAGAAAGCATAGTGCTACTACTATAAAATACTAATCCCATTGCATCTGTTAAATCACATGTTCAGTATGATTGGCTATTTGTTTTGGCCTGACAAAGAAATTTTATCAGGATGTAATGACATTTCTTTTAGAAGAAGAGTAAGTTAAGGGATATCCCATGAGCTAGTCACAAGGCTTTAAATTTAAAGCCCGCAAAGCACTATTAATACTAGAGTTCGTGAAGCCTGTTTAAAAATTATTCTTGGCAAAAATCTCTGCAACTATCATTTTATTAGTTAACAGACCCTTAGAGGTAATTTGGAACTAGTCCAGAATGGATAGGTTTCTCCGGTAGACCAGATTTGTAGCTGGCAAATTTCTGACAGTGGTGTTTTTGTCAATGAGCAGAGTTGTAGCATTACTTGATCTTCATGGATTTCTCGTTACTCCTCAGCAAATCATGAAGGAGAGTTTAGAGTGTGGCCTACAGAGCTGTGCACTCACCCGCATGCTCTCTGTCCCACCCCCAACTTAATACAAAGTTCTCATGCAGAGAAGCCTTTAAAAGCGATTTACAGTGAGTGGATAGGGAATGACAGAGGTAGTAATGGGATACGGGGCTTTTGCCACTAAGTCAGTGATGTGGATCCAGCCCAAATTGGTGTTGACCTAAAGTCATCCCTAGCTGACAGCTGGTTCCCGCCATGCTGTGGTGGTTACAGCTGGTTCTTTTAGGACAGGTGTGAATCTCGGAGGGACCAAATGAGCAAGCATGTAGAAATATTGCCTTCCACTGGAGGGACTGTAGTGCTAAAGCAGAGCTGAGGTAAAGAAGGGTAAGCTGATTGCACAGACAAGAATCTTCCTGAAATAAATATATAGCCATTAATCTTTTCTTCTAGCTATAGGAGTTGTATCCTTCATAGTGCTTCCAGTTACCACAGAATCAAATACACCACCTGATTGACCAATAAGTGATGTCTGGTAGAAAGACTGTTGACATCAAAAGGAAAAATATATATAAGCAGGGAAGAAGAGTGGGCCTAAAATGAGGGTGTGTTTTGTTCCCACTTTTGCAGCTGAGCTGAAGAATAAAGTTATCACAGTTGAAACAAAATATGAACTTCACAATTTTTGGAGAGATGCAGTTTAGGAGCACTATCGATCAGTATTTAGTTTCTAATGTCTGCTGGGTTTTATGTGTCTGGTCCAAAGACCATTGTTATTGATAGGAAAGCGCCACTGACTCCAGTGAGCATAAGACCTTCCTGAGCTAAGAAAAAGTGCAGATTTGTTTTGGAGTGTTTTCTGATTTTCTGAGAAGCTTAGTCTTCTCAGCAGCTAAACCCTATAAAATGAACATAGATTGAGCAGATGTGCAGGAGAAGTAGCAGAAGTATCAAGTGTAATGCACTGTCCAGTGCCTTAGTGCTCTGTAGAAGTCTACTAGAGCAGGTAAGTATCCCAAAAGGAGCTAGCCCAAAAAGCAAACATTGACTAATAGTTTCAAGCATGTTGAAATACTTTTGGTTTCAATGGTTTTGAAATTAGTGATGTACAGTCAGGTTTTTACCATAAAAGAAGATGTAGAAAGCTATTAGAGCATGCAGTTTACTAAGACTTAAAGCTCACTTCCAAGACCCGTTGACTTTAGATGTGTTAAAAGAAAAACAAACAAAGCAAACAACAACCCAACCCTGCCCCCTAAAAAAAAAAGAGATCAAATATGATGTGAAGTAAGGAGAGACATCTAAAAATATCAGCTAGCTTTTTATTCATGAAACTTTATCTCCTGTCCTTGCTTTGCTCTGCCTTGACATTTAGTATAATTATTTTTCCAGCAGATGGAATTGTCTTTATTTAAATAAACTGAATCTAATGCTGCAGTCTGCCTTAGCCAAAACTCAGGCTCTGGTGGCTCATACTAACAGGCATAGAGCTCATTTTGTGCCAGCACAGAAGACTGCTGGAGAAAACCATTTTCAGATGTACAAAGGAAAACCAGAAGTGCTGTACCTCCTTCACGTTATCATATATTATGGCTTCAGCTGGAAGGGCCTTCTAACAACAGATCTTTCTGTACTGTTGGTTTTGCTCCACAAAATAGTGTAACGACAGTAATGTGATATCTCTGTCTTTCAGGTTTCGTTTCTTGGATATTAAGTTGTGAATCTGAAGAGATGGCATTTCTTGTACTGCACGTGTTGATTGGGATATTTATTTACTTTAGCAGTGTAAAAGGATCTTCCCTGCCTCAAGCAAGGGTGTTTTTAACATTCAATGGTAAGAAAGAAGATAAACATTCTTAAGCAAATGTTATGATTGAACTTTTTCTTCTTCCTCTTAAGTTCAGTAACTGAGTAGAAACACGGCTTTTTGATCTGCATCCACAATTATTGGGTTTGGTTTGTGTTTCTGAGGTACCTGTCAACCTAAATTTGATTTTTACTTGAAGTTCATTGCTACTATAGATATAGGCACATAATTAATAATCATTTATTTTGAGTGTTATTATGGCTTACTAACAACTGAAGGTTTTATTTCTTATTTTTCTTAATTTTGGGAAAGATGATAGCACATGGCATGTAGTGGAAGTTACTGATGATCTGAGTTGCTTTCATTCGGTGCCCAGCTGAGACACTTTATAGTCTGAAAATCAGGTTGCCTGGAGGTTTATCAAGATAGCTATCAAGGCATAGAGTCCTTTGGCAAAATATCATTACTTGCACACTTTGTACAATGTGTTGGACATACAGAACATGTAGCAGTCACTGATGCCTGCATACTGTAGCCAAGCAATCAAAATTTTTGTTTTCAAAAGAAAGGTGTATTTACTTCTGAAGTGATGAGCAGTACCTTACTATTGCAATTTCTCAGTATTATTTCAAAAGTAATAATAATTCTGATCTACCAGATTATTGTTCTAGTATTCATCCCTGTTTTAATTGCCAATTTTAACCAGAATTTTTGTGTTGTTTGGACTTACCAGTGGTATTATATTTGAGCAGAAGTTGTCTGTCACTAAATAATATGACTTTCTTCAGCTCTCTGCCTTTTCTGCAATTGTCTTTGGGACATGAGGGCTTGCTACTCCCTGCACCAATACTGTCTGGTTTAGGATGGTTTGTATGGTTCACGAATGCAGGGAAACCCTGCTACTGCCATGTCCTGCCATGGGAATAATCTGTGTGATCTGATTAGTCTTAAAAAAAGTCACTTTAGAGATAGCTAGTATCTCGAACTGCTATTCATCACAATGATCATAGGTATGTACTCCTGAGTCGGAGAGACATCCAGGAGGAGACCTGTCAAGCTAGACTGTTGACAGATACCAACCAGCAGACTGAACAATTGCAAGATATTATATATTGTATAGGGCCCTAAAGTTATGACTGTGATACTTAATAGGTATAAATTGGCATGGTTCCAGTAAAATAGTAGAAATCGCATTCTAAGAGGGAACCATCAAATGAAGAAGTAGGTGGGAATTTCTTTTCCTTACTTAAGTCACGCTGACTAAATGTAGATGGTGCTGATGCTGCACAACTCAACACAGGAGTAAGTTTGGCTGTGGTTGTGTGTTACACCTGCATGTTTGTCACAGACACACAAAACTGGCTGATTCAGATTTCCACATCATGTCCATGATGGCCCTGAAAGTAATCTAGTTGAGAGTTGTGTTTCTTTCCTCATTTCATCACAGGCAGCCTGCAAGTCTGAAACACAGAACCGCCCATAGGGGTAAAAACCCCCAAGCCTAGGGGTTTAGGGAAAAAAAAAATGGCTGAGTGAATTGAAGCCTTAGTTTCTCTGTGCCTTTTTGAAAGGAGGATGTACCCCCTTCCTTTAAAAGGGGTTATGACAGTTCTGTGTCGCATTGACCCCTTTGTCTGGTGAGGTTCTTGGTCCTCTAGGGCGGTGCCAGCCCATGCCATCCCTGGGGACACAGCCTCAGCGCTCCGGTTCCTGACTGCAGCCCTCCTGGGCTGCCTCCACTGCTGCTCGCTTCTGTGGTATCATGTATAGTAGTCGCATGTCCTACATACTCCCTTTGACTTTTGCTATCTGATTCTCTTAAAATAGACACGTTACTTTCTCTAATACCTATCTCAACATCGTACTTTAAAGGGAGAAAAAATGTAAAGTCCTTGATTTTTAGTGTGTCTTTCAAAGTAATAAAAGTAAGAAATTAATTATGCCTTTTATAATATGACAAGTAATGTCTGAAATAAAGGGCTGAGCTTTTCATACAATATAAAACCAGTAGTTTTATTTTTAAACCAAATTTCCAGATGGTAAGAAACAGCTTTCATTATGTGAAAGGAGTTTTCAGGTTGTTGTGTATAGCAAGGCAATGGCCCCACCTGTAGTATGAACTTCTGTTCTATAAATCTTAATCTTTTTACATGGGTACTGATATAAGAGAAAAAGTTGAAACCTTGTATTGTTCTCTTGCCAAGTGTGATAACATACTCTTCTGCATAAGTTGCTTCATAGCTTATTGTTTTTAAATCATGTAAAAATATCAAGATATTGGCTGTCTCCATGCCCTGAGAAGTTGTCATTTTTTCTGGAGAACTGTCACACTTTAAGTGCATCATTTGAAAATAAAACTATAATTAGGAGTCCTTATGTTTTAAATGACATTAGACAATGAAGAGAAATCATTCAAGCTTAGGATACTTACATGATATTTTTCACGTTCTGAATTGGACTTGGCTTGGTGTCTGTAATTACATTGCAAAAGTTTTGGGGCTAGAATGTATACAGGAGGAGAAAATAAGTGATGCTTTTCAAAGCTAACCTGCTCCTTCAGGAACAAGTCAATTGAGCTCATTCACATCACAGCATTTCTCATGGGAAAATGCAGCAAGTATCTTGACCTATTCTGTTGTTCATCAGGAAAGATAAAAATGCGAATCATTTGAATCATGGGCTGCTTTTCTCTGCAATCTACTTCATTAAGAATCAAATGTAATTAAAAAGTAAGCCTGGGTAATACCTCAAGAGCCTGATAATAGGGATTTTGCAATTAACTTCAATGGATAAAGGACTGCAACCCTAATTTCTATTTTTGAAATCAAAAGCCTGGGCCCTTGTCTAATTAAAATGTAGTTCATGACTTAGCCGAGATTGTTAAATGTGCGTCTGACGTGAGTGTGGAACTTACTGCTGTCTGCAGTCTGAGTATCTTGAAAATTGCGGTGCCGTACAGAACCTCGATGCCCAATTTCTATTGCTTTGCACCTCGTATAGCAGTTTTCTCACTTGAAAGAAAAGGCCAGGCTGGAACTGAACTCCATGCTTTGCACAGGTATACGTGGCTATACGTGGCATTAGGCCTACGGACGATCAGGTGAAGGGGTTCTCCGTTTTCTTGGGATGATTTGTCATAACCTACTTGTCCTGTTCAACTGCGATGGCTCGGACCATCGGTATTGGTACAACATCTGCACTGGATGGGCTGTCTCAGTTGAAGAAAGGTGGCTCCAGCTTTTTCTGGTTCTGAAACTGAAAAGGTGTGAAGCCTGTGGTGCAGTAGTGTTGGGGATCATCTGCTGTTATCTTGGAGCATGTGACAGCAAGAGTAACTGGGAGGAGGAAGGCAAAGGACTCAACATGTCTCCCTACATGATTAGTAGAGCATCTCCCCTCCTCTTACCTCTTCTGGTTCCTTGTCCTGGGGATAATCTTCCTTAATCTACTTAAATCACCCATCATAATTTAAAGCACCATAGTATATTTTCTCCCCATAGCAAAGGACTTAATTGTAGTTCATAAACTGGTAAGATATAGTGCCTGCTGTTTCGCAAGCTACGTGTACTTCTCCTTGTTAGTGCATACTCCTGAATGGATAATTGGGAGCTGTATTCTTTAGTCTCTAAAGGGACAAAACCTTTCTTGAGTCAGTGGGAGTATTATCAAAATAAGAAAGGAGTTATTAGACTCCAGGATTGTGTCAGACTTTCATTTTGTTATCTCATGTTCACATTTTGGGGTTTACAGCAACCCTAACACGTAGGGCTCTGCCATTTTAACATCCGATTATGCATCAGTCAAAGCAGTTCCATTACTTATTTTTGAAAATACACTCAAACAAAACTTCTTTGAGCTTTGAATTTATATGGAGATGCACAACCAAGTGATAATTTCACAGTTTACTGGGAACATTTCATGCATTCCTCCCTAAAATGTCTGGTCATGCAGATATTTCCCATTCAGATTCTCCCATTGTCTTCAGTGAAAATTCCATATGAGAAGTGGATCAAGGCTAATTTGCAGATGGTTTTGTTCCTCTTTTTGTCATAAAATTACTAGAACACGTAAAGCACTTTTAAGAAAGTATCAGTCAGCTTCATTAATGACAATTAAAAAGCAAAAAATGTCACCAGAGCAACAGCAGCACTTATTCAACTGTCAACATATTTTAAAAGATTTAATGCAACCCCTGTGGTTACCCTCAAGGAAAAATAAAGGAACTGAGAACCATTTTCTTTGAGCTCTTGAGCAACAGCAGTACAACTTGTTTTTAAACAATACCTCATTGTAATGTTAATTTTACCACAGTTAATAAAAAGTTCATTTATTATTTGGGGGACTTTGTGCTGATGACAGTCTAGTAGGCAACGGTTTATGCTTAAATTGTTGACTGAGTCTTTGGTGGTGTCTGTGGGATGAAAGCTACTTGTAAAATGAACTAGAGATAAAGCATTAAAAAAAAAGATAACCAAGATTTTGTTTTTGTTTATATGCAAAACTCATACAGAAAACACATGAGTGTTTATATAGTTGTGTAATTTTCAGCAAATTATGGGTCAGATTTTTTCCAAAGTAACTGTTTTGTGGCTTTTACAGCTTCATGGATCTTAAATAATACTAATTTATAAAGTGTTGAACACCAACCATGCGCAAATTCTTCCCCCTCATTTGTCTCACACTGGAGATGTAAAAACTTAACTCACTTTTGAATAACGTCAAGTAAAACTAAAACTCATTCTTACCTTTAGTAGTCAAGTTCGTATTTTTACATTTGGTCAAACTGACAACTTCGGTTGTTCTTAAAGGCAAATACCTAATTTACAAATTGAAGTCTTTGGGGGCCATTTTTAGACTTTATCTTCTCTGTATATAGAATTTTTTTCTTGCTTTGTCTTTTTTTTTTCTTGTTAAAATAAACAGAGGCATAATGCAATAAATCTTACTTGTATAGAAACTGAATTACTTGAATAGGCTGTGAGTAAAATGTAAAAAAACCCAATTCAAACAGATATTAAAGGAAGCAT